AGAAGATTGGTTTTTCAGAGAACCCAAAATTTTAGTTGTTGCCTAAGAAAGTCTGCTTTTAGGGTCACTGACAAAAAGTATTATTTGTATGACTATACTGAAATCTTTGATGTTACTTAAAACACGCACAAAATGCTGTAAGTGGAAAGCTTGAACATCCTTTGGGAAATAGCTTACAATGTTTTCATGTTACTTTTTCTGAATTTCAGTGCCTTGTCATTGAAAAGAGAGTGTATGCACAAATTCTTTTGTTGTTTTTGAAGTTTTTCTTAATGGACATTTTTAGATTTACAGCACCTTGGTCCAAAGGCTGTATTGTTTTAGAATTTAAAAGTGCCCTGAAGAATCTCAGCCAGATTGCAGAGTATCAGTGTGATACCAAATCCAGTGTGGATTTAATCAGAGCAGCTTTTCTTACATGACTGCTAAGAAAGATAAATTAGCTTTCTGTTTTTCTAGCGAGGGGCAGGCCCCGACTGTCAGAGCTCTTGCCACTCACAGTAGATACTTCAGGGTCCCGTTCTCATTGCTGGGACACCCTATGGTTTTGTTTGTTGACTCACGGTATTTTGCCAAGAACCAGCTGTTATAAATGACTGCTGTGCACACACTTCCAGCTTTTTCACTATTTATTAACAAAATAAAAGCTATATGGATTAACAAAATCTTATGTTTTGTTAATCCAAATTTGAGATTCCAGAAAAAAATAAGGGAGAGGTGAGTGGAATAATAGGTAGGGATGACCAAAAAGGAATGACTGTGGAAATAGCTTATTTTTAATATCTTTTTCTAACATTGTATGTCGGAGCCCTCTGGTTTTCTGAACTTTTCCACTAAATCTAATAATCTTAGATGTATTCTGTACTCATTTTGAAGGAGCAGTAAGCCAAGTTCACTCAGCAGGGAAATAACAGTGAAAAGGAAAGAAAACATTTTGACATTAAGAAAGAAATGTGTGTGCATTCACAGAAGTCACTTTTCGGGAGAGCAGTGGGAATCTCTTTCTCTTGCCTGGCCCGGTTATGTGTGCTGACTCTTGCTCCCCAGTGTTCCTCTTCACCAAACTCCATGGAACACTGATGTCCCGTCAGTTGGGCTTGCTCTTAAATGTGATGAATATTTACAAAGCTCACAAACTCTACTCTTTTTTTTTTTTTTTTTTGAGACAGAGTCTTGCTCTGTCACTCAGGCTGGAGTGCTGTGGAGTGATCTCAGCTCACCGCAACCTCTACCTCCTGGGTTCAAGTGATTCTCCTGGTACGGCCTCCCAAGGCATATGTCACCAAACCTGGCCGATTTTTTTGGTAGTTTTAGTAGAGACAGGGTTTCATCATGTTGGTCAGGCTGGTCTCGAACTCCTGACCTCAGGTAATCCACCCTCCTCAGCCTCTCAAAGTGTTGGGATTATAGGCATGAGCCACCACACCCAGCCAACTCTTCTCTTTTTAATAGAACAGGAATGAGGCAGCGTGTCATCACAGTAGCCCTAGAATTGGTCTCTAGACACTCTCCTGAACCATCTGTTTCTCAGGACACTACGCTTGCCCCTGTTCCCCTTTGAGGGGGTTGGTAACAAAACCCTAAATGGTAGGTGAAGAAATTCCAAGAAATGTTTGCACACTTGCTGGGTAATACTTAACTTGCACTCCTGGATTTTGATCTTGACTCCAACAGCGCATTCTGAGCTTTCTCGTGGGGCCTTGTAATGGCCTGGAAAGCTAGTGGCACTGCTCCCCACTCTAGCCATCGATGCACCCACCAAGTGAGGGGGCTCTGGAGGTGAAGTTATACGTGGGAGATTGGGGACGTCTTTCCCGGTGGCATTTTCACATTTCCATGACATCATTCATAAGAAGTCAGGTCAGCCCGCATTCATCAGGCACTCACTGTGTCAGTGCACCTCCGAGAGTGGGATGGTCAGGCTCAGGTGAGAGGGATGCCCCCCCGTGAGCAGCTGACATGGGTTTGCCTCAGCCTGTGCCGTTCTGCTTGGTGAGCCTAAATGAAAGTCAGTTTCCAACGGTGAACTAATTATTTCTTGAATGTTTTATCCAGATCCTGAACTCCTTATGACTTTTTCATATGTTGGCTGTTCCACCGATCTTTGGCTATTAAAGTGGAAAGAAGAAGGGAAAGGAAATCGAACTCAGATTTTCTGCCTTTCCATTCTTGTTGCCATGACAGCTTGAGGGCAGATGCTGATTTGTTTTTTCCTGAAATGATTTCCATTATTTGTGGATTCTGATATTTTCTTGAGTATGTGTTTGTGGTTTTTTTTTTGGGGGGGGGGCGGGTAAGTATAAATAACAAAATTGATTCTCACCATTTTCAAGCCTACAGTTCAGTACCACTAAGTACATTCACACCATGTGCAAGAATCACTGCCGTCCCTTTCCAGAACCTTTTCATCTTCCCAGACTGAAACTCTGCATTCATTAAGCAAACGTCTTGAGTCACTGTCTCTGTCTCTTTAATTCCTCAGCCTGTGGAAATGTTCTTTGGCTCATTGTCTGAAAGGAAAAATTTTGTCATCACAAATGGAATTGAGATGCATAATTGATATATGAAATGGCCAAGTCAGAGCCAGACTGGACTCCTTTCCCCACTCTCCCCTTGGGCACTCTGTCAAAAAACTCGACGGTGACTTTGACTTTTCTTCCATTTCTTTGTCACTGGCTTAGTGAGAACAATCTCCAGGAAGACCTCTTTGACCAGATCTTGGCTGGGAAGCTGGAGTTTCCGGCCCCCTACTGGGATAACATCACGGACTCTGCCAAGGTACCCTCCAAGCCTGTTTCTGTGGGTTGTATTACGTTGTGGGGTCCTCACCCATGGCATGGGGCTGTAGCTGCTCTTGGTATTGCATTCCAGAAAATTCCTTGGCTTTTAATATGTGGTGGTTCTTTTAAGTTCATCCCATGGTATGGTGTCTGAAGTTCTTGGCTAAATTCTGAAAGCTATACACCAACCATCTTTCCAGTTTCCCCTCTATCTTCTTGTGCTCCTCTAAGCTTTCAACATTCATTCTTTCATTTATTCAAGAAGTATGTATCGGGCACCCATCAGGATACAGGGATGAACTCATGAGACAGACTGAATTGCCAAAAGGAAAAATACTGCACTTTTAGACTGTGGAATAATAACAATAACCAAAACTCTTCAGTGAGAACATCTTGGTTTCATGTGGACTCAGGGGAGACCTTCTCTTCTTTTGCACTGCTTATAAGGCACTAGCAGAGTAGGTGTAATCACATTTAAGTTTGAATCAGTTAGCAGCTGTGCTGGCTCTTCTCTGAAGTGCTTGCTACAAACTCAGATTTCTGTATTTATGCTGGAATTATCCCCATGGTCTTGTTTGTTTGTTTGTAGGAATTAATCAGTCAAATGCTTCAGGTAAATGTTGAAGCTCGGTGTACCGCGGGACAAATCCTGAGTCACCCCTGGGTGTCAGTAAGTACCCACATTCCCAGGGAATGGTCATCTGTGCTCTGTGGCCAACAGCACGGTTCCTCGCTGGGGTATTTGCACATGCAGAAGTTATGCATCCAAGCTCCATGGTAGATGGACGGTCTGTCTTTCCCATTGAGCAAGTAGCATGAAGATGGCTCCCCAAGAAAGCAGTTGGCACCAGGGCCCCAGTCTTAGACCCTGCTCTGTGAGACCCCTGGGCAAGTCACTTTCCCTTTGTTGGCCCCAGTTTCCTTATCTCAAAACGGAGTTGGCCACAGTGCTCTTTCAGGAGGCTCTTAGCTCTTGTCTTCTGTGGTTCTGGGGTTTGAGAGTTTGCAGGCTTTGCCTAGAGATGAGCCTGTTTCAGACTCTCATCTCCGTGCCTTCAGGGCACAAGCTCCCAAGAGACCTCCTGCCATTGATGAGGAGGCTGAGACACAGTCCCTTCAGAGCTGGGTGGAGACCTGTGACACTGACTAGGATTCCCTCCCAGAGGCTTCAGTGGTCTCTGGAAGGGAAACATGATCTAATAAATGGGGACTGTAGGAATTACATTTCTTCCATCTCCCTCATTTCTGGGAGGCTCCAGGAGAGTGAAGTTAATTTACTTAGCCCAGGGCTTTGTTGACTCGGGTTGGGGAGCTCCTGTGCACCTCCACGGCCCTGCCCACTGCCATCTGGGTGCAGTCTGTCTGGACCCCACTTGCTGCTCTCTTGGGCTAAATGATGTGGCTCTTGGACCAGGTAGTCAAGATGCCACATTTTTTTTTTTTTATAAAAGCAATAAAGACCAACACCTAAATGAATTCTTGATTAAAGTAAAAAACTTAATTACCTTTGATGCTTCCATGGGGGGGTTAATACTAAATTGTGTGCCTTGGGCGAGGGTCTCAGCCGCAGAAAGTATGTCCTGCTTTGTGTTCTGGGAGACCTGTGCCCTCTCCTGGGCCTACTCTAGTCCTAAGGGGTGGAGGGAATGGTGTGGGGTCTTTCTGAGGCATGGGACTAATGAATAACAATATGTTTTTTTGTTCTTTTTTCTTCTGAGATGAAGTCTTGCTGTTGCCCAGGCTGAAATGCAGTGGCCTGATTTTGGCTCACTGCAACCTATGCCTCCCGGGTCAGCAATTCTCCTGCCTCAGCTTCCTGAGTAGTTGGGATTACAGCTGTGCGCCACTACACTCAGCTACTTTTTTTGTATTTTTGGCGGAAACGGAGTTTCACCATGTTGGCCAGGCTGGTCTCAAACTCCTGACCTTGTGATCTGCCCGCCTTGGCCTCCCAAAGTGCTGGGATTACAGGCGTGAGCCATCAACAACAGTTATTTTGAAAGATCAATGTTCCCCTAATTCTGTGGCTAAGACGGGCCCACCCACTGAGGAAGAGGTGAGGAGGGCCGTGGGGATGGGGAGGAGGACTGTTAAGGAAAAGACAACATAGAAGGGAGAGGATGGAAGAAGCATTGTATTCAATTCTTTTCTTTCCTGTAGGATGATGCCTCCCAGGGGAATAACATGCAAGCGGAGGTAACAGGTAAACTAAAACAGCACTTTAATAACGCGCTCCCCAAACAGAACAGCACCACCACCGGGGTCTCCGTCATCATGGTGAGTGGAACGGGGCAGCCTATGGAGTCGGCCTTGACTTGACGTTTTTGAATTAGATACCCGGGGGCTGTTCTCGCATGGAAGCTGGTGCCCTCCATGGTCCTATTTCATGTGAAGATTGGCTTGGCGTGTGGAGGGCACTCGTCGGGCAACTCCCATGCCTCGGGCGCTGCATGGAGGGGCTTGTGCAGGGACCAACAGGGCTGGTCTGGGGGGTCCAGGTGCCGAGGAGCTCCTGGCCTCGTCCTCTGGGCAGCTGCGTCCACTCTCGTCTCTGCCTTCTCATGTGGAGATTCCCAAGCCCAGGTGGGATTAGTTGTTAGGAAGTAACTCCCTGCCTACCCAAGGCTTCAGAAATAGATTGAGATGTGAATTACTCTTTGAGACTTGGGATAAGAAACAGCCAAAGCTAAACAAATTTCAGTTTTAAAAAATTTGTGTTTTATAAAAGATAGTTTGGGGCTTTTAAAACTATATAACCAAGGGAAAAAATACATATTCGTTTTTCAGGGTCGGTAACATGTTATGAGATGTCAGTGACAATGATGGCCTTATTTTCTCAGTCTTCCTCCAAAATGTTTCTTAAGGCAGCTTTCCTAAATACGTAAACGCAACAAATTAAAATGAAAAGTGACATGAAAGTAAATTAATCGAATCAAAAGGAAGAAACTGAACCGGAACGAGGGCAGCACACCCCACAGCGGCTCTCCCAGCCTGAGCCAGTGATGCTGAGTGGGAAATCCAGCTCTGTGCGCCTCCCTGCTGCCACCGTGAGCAGGTACAGGCCAACCAGCCACCCAGGCAGGGACCTCGGTTCTCCCCACCCCACTCCCAGGAGCCAGAGTTGGCTGGAGCAGCTTTCAAATCAGACCTGCTGAGGTGACCGGCATCTGAGTTTCATATATGGGTCCCCTCCCCCTGCACCCTGAGTCCTGACAGCTAAGGATAGGCCATCTCCACAGCTCCGTCACTCACACCTGGGACAGGCCTCTCACCCTCTGGGGAAGGTCCTGCTTGTTTCCTACCCAACTAGAAGGAAAACAGTGGTATATTCTCATGGTGCATGGTTGTCTGGGAGCCTTACCTAGGAAGACACAGGGTCCAGAGAGAAGCTGGAAGTAAGCCACACACGCATCCCCTATACCCACCATACTCCATACTCCAGTTCCCCCACTCCACATCCCCCACACCTCACACACCCCACATATACCCCCACACTCTCCCATACCCCACACCCTGCACACCCCACATATCCCATACACCTCACACCCCCACACCCCACAGCCCCACACCCTACATGCCCCCGCACACCCACACTACACCCCCCACACTACACGCCACGCCCCCAACTCCCACACACGTCACACACCCCACATATACCCCCGTAATTCCCCACACTCTGCACACACCACATACCCCCACACCCCTCACACCCCCACATATCCCACACACCCCACATACCCCCATACCCCACACCCTGCACACTCGCACATACCCACACACTCAACATACCCCACACACCCTGCACACCCCCACATCCCCCCACACAGCCTACATACTCCACACACCCCCACATACCCCATACCCCCTGCGAGTGTGCATCACTCTGTTACACGGATTAAGTGTCCACCGGGTGCTGAGCACCCACCGCACCATCACTCTCTTTTGTCCCCAGGCAGCTGCGTTGATGTGGTCGCCCTCTGTGTGTCCTTGCAGCTTGCTAGCTGCTCCCGGCCAGCAAGTGTGCTGTCCCTCCCCGCTTCCAGACAGAGCCTGGGTTTGCAAGCTGAATCTTTTGATGGCTTGCAGGACTTGGGGGTGCTCTGTGCCAAAGCAGTGGGAAGGCCTTTTGAGTTGTGGTTTCCCTTGAATTTTAGTAGTGTTCTGCTGAAAGCCTGAGAAAGTCAGAGTTGTCAAAGAATTACAGCTTAGACACTTTTAAAAGAACCATCTTGATTGAGCCAAGAGCATGAGAATGTTTCCAGTGATTCCCTTGCGACAGCTAGCATTGATGGATGGGCTCCGTGTATGCAGCCTCGCCGTGCACTGCGTTGTAAGGCAGCTTCTTGGAAAATTTAGAAAAATCAAACATTAAAAATTGGCATACCCAACATGTCATGAAAAGCCTTAAGAAGAGAGATTGGTTGGGATCAGAATTTAATAACCATATTAAGTCTTCAGAGAGGAAGAACCTTTAGCCATCCTGTGCCCCGGGCTTAGGAGAGTTTGCTCAGAGACAGCGAAGAGAGTCGTTGCAGGGGTCACTTTTTGACTCGGGCCCAGATATGGCTGGCTCTCAGCTGAGGTTCTGGAATGATTGGCTGTTCTATAGGCTCTGTCCTGGATAATGATGCTTAGACCCCCTCAGACAGAACCTGTGTTGTGTGGTTTACAAATTCCATTTTCCATTTGCTGATGAGGAGTTCAGCGGTCAAAAGACAGACCCCTGGGCTCTGACAGGGCATTTGTGTGAACAAACAACCTTTATTGTTTGCAGTTCCAATGGTGATTGTAAACGTGTGTTTTCATGTGTTCACTTGTCATTTTGTGCATGTTGGCAGGGTGTCCCCTCTAACCCCATGCTCCCTACACAACTCTGCAGGCTGTTAGCTCTGAGGCACTGCTGATGTCCTGATCCCACACAGTACCTACAGGAAAATCCAATCAGGCTTGCCTGTGGTGGCACCCGTTCTTGATGGCCAGAATGCCAGCCTGTGAATTTTGGGCTGTCCCCAAAAGCGGGAGGGGAAGGCCTGCTACTGATCCTCCCATGGTGCAGAACCTGGTCTGGGGCACAGTTGTGTGGGGGAAATCGCGAGGCTGCTGTATGGTCCTCCTCGTCCTCCTCGTCCTCACATCACTGTGTATCTGTGTCCTGTCTTCGGGAACAGTTTTAAGTGTTTTTACATTAAAAACAACCTCAAAATGACTCTCCCTGGTACTTCTGTGTCCTCATAACTGAGACTGTGGGGCTAACCTGGTGTTCTGCAGATACAAATGATCAGTGTCAACCGTCTGGAGGTTGAATCGTGAGACAACTGGTGTGTCACTTACAGATAGGACCTTTCCCTCTGCTGTCACCCTGGTGTTTTCTCAGCCCCAGAGTTGGGGCCTGAGGCTTCAGTGAGAAAATTATGGGATAGGAATTGGTCCATAAAGGTGAAAGAAAGTAAAGTTGATGCTGTTATCTGCGTTTTATTTGACAGTTTGATTTGACAGTTTGAGAGGCACCTCAGCGTTTCCTTCTTTACCCCGCTGAGACAGTGACAGCCCGAAGCAGAATCCTGGTATTCACCATGCTGCGCCCGCCCGGCGCGCCCCACCCCTGCCCCTCATGCCCCTCTCACGCCTGCGCGCTTGTCTTGGTTTCTGATGCCGCCGTCCGGCTCTCAGCTGCTTACTGGCGTGGGTCTTCTGTACCTACTCATATACTTTCCAGCCAGCCAAGCACACCCCTGGAAAACTTTATTTTAAAACTTCTCAGCTTGCCACACCGCCTGCCTTCCCAGACCAACAGCTGGTGAGAGCACGGGAGGAGGCCAGTAGTTCTCCTGCCTGCAGTTTCTCACTTAGGTGAAAAGTGGCTTTTCAGAGATGGGTGCCTTGTGAAGGCTTTTGTTCTTTCTCCAGCTTCATTTCCAGAGATGAGTATGTATCAGTAAGTGTGATGTCAGCCAGCCTTTGGGATAAGAAGAGATAATTTAATGGGTGAGGCCTTGGCTTCAGACAGTGCTGAGGTGTGGGATGACAGCTCCGTTTTCTTGGATTCGTCCTTAGCATGCGTAGGAAAGGACAGAGCACGGCACATGCAGGATGGCCTCCTGTGTGCCCCAGGGGGCTCGCCCCAGCTGCAGAGACCAGGAGAGACCATCTTGTGGTGGGAAGGGAATGCCGAGAAGCCACCTTCACTCGGCGCCCTGCGGTGCAGACCTGAGAAGGGACAGATTCAAGGGCATTGCCTTCTTGGCTTGGAGATTATGCCTCCGTTCAGGGGGAAGTTGGGGAAGGATTTGGGTTTGTTTCCGTAATTTAAGATAGACAAAACTGTTTCACTCGTGTTGCTTCTGTTGAAAGTAAGTCTGGTTTCTGTCCCTGCTTCTCTCCTGCCTCTGCCTCTCCCGCCGCCTGCATTGCTTCCCTCTGGCTAGGTCCAAGGCCATGGTATGTACTAACCGCACTGCCAGCCTGCTTTCTGCTGCACATACCCCGTCCTCCTGACAGGAAGAGAAAAGGAGAAATAACGGGGGGATTGTTTTCTTGCACCCAGGAGACATTTTATGGTAGAAAAGACCTGTATGCTGCCTCTTTGGTTCTCATGTAGGTGGGAGCATTTTTTAGTGGACTTTTCCACAGTTACCTCTTCTCCAGGTAACTGAAATTGTCCTTGGAAGCTCTAGGGCTTTTGGGAGTTTTGTTTATTGAGACAGGGTCTTGCTCTGTTTCCAGAGTGGAATGCAGTGGTATGATCCTAGCTCACTGCACCCTCGGACTCCTACGCTCAAGCCATCCTCCTGCCTCAGCCTCCAAGTAGCTGGGACTACAGGTGCATGCCGCCACACCCAGCTAAGTTTTAAATTCTTTGTAGAGGTGGAGTCTCTCTGTTGCCCAGGCTGGTCTCGAACTCCTGACCTCAAGTGATCCTCCCTCCTTGTCCTCCCAAAGTGCTGGGATTACAGGTGTGAGCCACCACACATGGCCAGAAATCGATGAATGTTCAGCTTGGACTTGGCAGCGCCTGTGGAGAAGCAGACATTCCACAGGTGGTCCCTGGGGGGCGCCATCCAAGTTCATCTCAGAAAGCCCTGTGGTTCATTTTTATTTTCTCCAGATTTGTTATTATTATTATTTATTTTTTTGTTAAAGTACTGAAAGAATCTTGAGTGCATTTTCCCCCTTTTCTCTCCAGGGCAGTTACATTACAAAATGCCCCCTGGGCATTGTCCCTTTCCACTAAAGGTACCTGGCAACAGCAGTGTCCTTCACTTTTGGGAAGCCCAGTGAGATGGCAGCTTGACAGGCTTCCCTGGATGAGCAGGAAATAGAGAAGGAGAGGAGGACCAGGGTCCCTACCTCAGCTAGGCTCAGAAACAAGGTGACTGCCTCACATCTTTGTGGCTGTTTCTCCGTTCCTTGAAGAACTGAGCAGATTTTAAAACTTTCAGGGTGTGTCAGGATAAGGAAGCTTTGCTTCACGTGAAGAGAAGACAGGTGAGGAGATCATGAAGGATCTCAAAAAGGATAATGTGGTTCCATCCGATTCCCAGGCCTTTTATAGGCTTCACCACTGCTGGGGTTTAGGAGCATTACTTATTTGTAGGATATATGAGTCACTTTTCAATCTGTGACAGAGAACTTTCTTTGGAAAAGTAAACTGTCCAAGACTGAGCATCCTCGTAAGGTTTGCTTATTGTCTTAGAATTCATTTTGAGCTTAAAGTCTGGGCTTGGGCCAAAGCAGTGAGAACTCAGGCACAGCCTAAAGTGAGAGAAGACGGCAGACACCCAGTGTTTCCTGGGCTGCCAGCCTGGGTCAGGGTTGGAGCAGAGGCCAAGGACAGCCCCTTCCCCTGGTGGGTTCCGGAAACCGTTGCTCTCCTTTTGGAAACTTGGTGTTATTTCTCCTCTTCTGTTTCTGAGGCCCATGCATGCTCTGTCGTGCTCTCGCTCGTGGCAGCTGGAACCCGTGCCTGGGCCCAGGTAATGTGTTGTCTCTGCTGTTTCCTCCTCAGAACACAGCTCTAGATAAGGAGGGGCAGATTTTCTGCAGCAAGCACTGTCAAGACGGCGGCAGGCCTGGGATGGAGCCCACCTCTCTAGTTCCTCCCTCAGTGGAGGAGACCCCTGTGCCTGGGGAAGCAGCCCTGGCCCCTGCCCCTCCGGAATCTCCCACCCCCCACTGTCCTCCTGCTTCCACGGGCGGTGAGCGGGCCGGGACCTGGCGTCGTCACCGAGACTGAGCCTCCTGCAGGTGGGCGAAGCCACCCGCTGCCGCCCAGGAAGCCAGCCCTCTGCTCGGCCTCGCTGGCCTCCCTGCTGCAGGCCTCCCTGTCCTCACCGCCTATGCCTGAGTTTGCCCGTCCTCTGCAGGCCACCTGGGAACGGGAGCCTGGTGTCCCGGAGCCTGGCCTGGTGCTCTGGGCTCTGCCTTCTGGTTCCTGGAGGCATCGAAGGCTGTGTCTGCTCTGCCTACAGCTGTTCAGAGAGACTCATTCCAGATCATCCACAGTCATTTTCAGTTCATTGGACATTTTACAGCTTCACCAGGAGAATGTGCAACTTTTATCCAGCATTCGATGCATTTTTATAGAAACACTTCGGATGAACCAAGACCTCTTCTTTATTTAAGTAGACTCAGAATGTTCCCTTTTCTTTTCTTTTCTCTCTCTCTTTTTTTTAACGAAAGACTTGGAATTGCATTCGTCCCTTTGTGGGTGCCCTGTGAGAGGTGATGTGGGGGCTAAGGAGACTGGCTTTCTAATAGAAGTGAGCGCCTGAGAGGACGATTTGGTCATTGGACACGGATTTCTGTCTTTGAGAAGCGCTCAGGTGCCCGATGCGGTGGCCCAGCCATTCAGCTTGGGGCACTGGGCTCAGCAGGGACAGTGCTGGGTATTCATTGGTGCACAGACCGTGGGAGAAGCCACTTCTTCCCTGGGCATTATGGGTTTCCCCTGGCTTTTCCCACACTTGTGTTAGGAAATGCCCATGAACCTGCCCTCTGGGTATGTTTAGTGAGAGGCTTGGCGCATGTGGCACACAGCCATTTCTTCTCTGCAAGCCAGCGACTTGCAGATCAGAACGAGCTCACTCCTCAGCGCTGGCGCCTGCTTCCTTATCTGCATTTCATCTGGAGCAGGGCAGGCAACCACACGAGGAGGTGTGCCCAAGGCGGCCCGGACTGGGCGGGAAGGTGCTCCCCGGACATACTCTGTGAATCTTCTGGAAGGCTGCTGGCAGTTTTTCCTTTTTGTCCACTACCCTGCTCTTTTTAATAATTGTACATAATCCGTGTATTTGTTTTACCTGCTCATCTTCTAAACTGGTGGGCCCTATAGTTCGTTCTCATTGTTAGATTTTGCCTTTTACAAGTGTACCCAACCTGCAATAAACGTTTCCCTCTTGAGAAAAAGCAATCAGGGATGGGCAGAGTTTTCTGTGTCGTTGTTTGGCAAAGGACATGTGGGATCAAAGCCCTCCTCCTCGGCCCTGGTTCCAGCGGGTGCCAGTGGCTGTTTTGCAAAGTCTCAGGGCCACCCTGGGGGAAAGAGGTGACTTGGGGAGAACAGATGGAGATGTGTCTCGGTTGAAGTTTGTATGTTTATAGGTGCAGAATGGGCCTGTAATCCCAACATTCTGGAAGGCTGAGGTGGGTGGATCACCTGAGGTCAGGAGTTCGAGACCAGCCTGGCCAACATGGCGAAACCCTATCTTTACTAAAAATACAAAAACTAGCCAGGTGTGGTGGCGCATGCCTGTAATCCCAGCTAC